CGAGTACAGGGCACACTAAAGTTTGATGTATTTTGACTGATGCTCTGTTTCCTTTCTTTGGCTCTGAATTAATGATACCGTTGATCGTTGCATCAAATAGAAGCTTCTCGGTATCCTGCATGATTGGGAGCTGAGGAAGCGATGCGAACCGCAATGATTTACAGTTGTGGAGCTTCGAGATGCTGCCTATGTTGTAGTAAATTGATGTTCAGCCAGAGTCTTGTAAATCAAAGGTCACCGGTTCGGATTTATCTAAGTGCGGGCGATGTCCTGATGTTGCTAGCCCGAGCATGACCGGTGGTGGTTACGTGATAACTTTGTATGTTGCTGCGGCTCTCTGGCGTGCTTCTGTGATTGGTTTCTTGTTTCAATTTTTCTCCGTCGCCAGCATCTATTACGTTTCCTTTGACAGCAGGAAGAAGACCGATATAGCTATCTCGAATTCAGACCCACTCACTCCCTGAGTCTGGATATAGCTACCTTGACAAAAAAAGCTCCCCAACACATCGTTGTTAGCAGCGAAATGATTCGGGTCATGTAGTTTAAACATAATTTGACTCGTAGGAAAGTTTCCTTAATATCAAAGACCGGTAAAACGGTCTTCAACTGGCTCCAACCCAAAGCGTTTTCATTGGCTGACTCCAAAGCAAAAGCCGTCTCATTGGTTGGCTCCAGTTCAATGGTCTTTAAAGCTGGGTTGATCCGACCTTTTGAAGCCGTCGGCATGAAATAAGCTTGAAAGGCTTATGTGAACGTTATCTCTTAACAGATTAGGATAACACCTGTCAAATGCATTCATCACGCCTCTTTGCCCGAGTCCCATATTGTGCTATCCGAACCGAACGACTTGGGAAATCCTCCGTTCATCGCGTACAGTCATCAATAATGAGCAGAACCATGTTTGCCTGACCTTTAGCTTTCGACCTATCAAGTCCAGCGATGATGATGTCAGCGCAAGGAGCCACCATATTCACGGGAATTGTCGCCCATTCCCAATGCAAAAGTGACTCCCCCGCAGTTGTGAACGGACAAACAAAACATTTTTATGCTCAACTAATGGGTCGAATGGATTATGAATAACTGAAAGTTTGGAACCATCAGACGAACAGAGAGCCTATGAGTAGATCACTAGTCAGATGTCTCCAGGGTTGACCACTAATGCATAGAACTAATCACGATTTCATGATATTGATGTTAAAGGATTACCCAAACTTGCACTGACGATGCACAACCACCTTGAAAGTGTCCGGAAATGTAATCACTGTAACAACAAGGGGTTGGAACCTTATCCAAACAACTGGGAATTGTCTCGTGAAGTACTGACGAACGAAACGTGGCTCCAACTGCAAGCCATTTTGACTACGAAGCATCGTGTCTTGATTTACGTTATGCATAGAAAATTCATATGTAAAGTTAATACAGATTTTGATCGAAAACTACCTGTCCTACGTTTCATGGACTGCCCAGCACTGATGATGAGGAGATACTAACTAGCGCAACAAACCCAAATCAGAGACACGCGACGTAACCACCACCCCCTGGTACACATTTCGCACCTTAGGTGTTATACATAAACATACCCTTACACAAATCCCCACCTTCTACACCACCCACAATATCTCACCCTATACCTATAACCCCAACACAAATAAAACATATATACCAACTTTAATTTAACTACTCCACAATAACACCCCCCAATTCCTCCCATCCATCCACCCAACATACAAACCTCCCCCAACCAACACCATCTACTATCTCAATTAAATAATCACTTATTACCAACCTACCTTCCCTCATAAACTTATTCCCTCCCTCCATTTAATCCAAATCTACCTAAACTCCTATCTCCTCACTAATTCTATCATCTATCAATAACCCACCTAACCTTTACCATTTATCCTCAATCTATTCCAACACTAACACCATATTGATTCTCTCCAATTATCACCAATCATTAATAAATCATCAAATTCCTCCATTACCTCATCACACCAATTTTTCTGCCTTGATATCATTTATATTAATTTATACCCAAAAAAACACCCCCCTCCCCCCATTCCCCCCAACCCCCTCATTCTATTAACACACTCCCCCCCCTTAAAAATTATAATCACAAAAAACATAACACCATAAAAACAACCTCATCATCACTTTTCCACAATACCCTAATCTATACAACACACACACACACACAACCACACAAAATACACACACAAATTCACACAACACACACTAACCATTTAAATACTCCTTTAACACCCATACACACCAAAAAACACAATAATCTTCCACAAATTCCTACAACACAAATTCTAAAATCAATATTTAAAACCTTCTACTTATCCCAATAACATAAACATTACACCACAATACCCCCCCATACATTCAAACCCCTAACAATCACACCAAAAAACCATAAACAAACTAAAAATTTAACTACCTTCCTTAATCAAACAAAACCCTCACCACCCTACCTATCCCCCCACCAACAAACCACCAATTCAATCAACCCAAAACTAACCAATAAATTTTACATTTCACACACACCAATCAACCCCCACCCTCCAACAAAATCCACCATCAAAAAAATATACACCACTTCCAAAAATCTACCACCAAACCCTACCCCTATAAATAAAATTCTCATAACACCTTTCATCCCTAAACCCTCATTAAAATATCACTAATCCATTAATTATCCATACACCTAATACATATTTTCCCCAAAAACTAATCCCTTCTAAAATAAAAACCCCTCCAACAACTTCACACCACCCCACATCTCCACCTCAAACTATCACCACTTCACCCCCTTAACTAAAACCCTCACAATACTTACCCATACAACCTAAAATCTTCATAACCCCCATTCAACAACACCCCCCACTTCCAAACAACTAAAACCTACCTAACAACAACTCATCCCAAAAAATCAAACCCACCCCCCCACCAACACAAAAACAAAATCATAACCATAATTTCCAAAAAACCTAAAACACAACCACCCTAATTACATAACCTTCCCCTTAATCAAATAACTAAACCCCAACTATAACAACTTTTTATATTAATATTAACCTCCCATACCAATCCCTAATCAACTAAAAACAAAATACATACCATCACCCTACCCCACTTTCTATTAAACCAGAAAACCCACCCAACCCAACAACATTCATTCCTAAAACCATCCCATTCATCCCCTAATCCCCACCATATAAAAAACAATAAATCCCCAATTAAAAAACCCCCCCCTTACTTATCCACATCATCAAACTATAACACAAATTCCACTCTCTCCTTATCAACCCCCTCCCCTCACTCTCCCCTTACTCTCCAACCATTAATCAAATCCTAATCAACAATAATAACCATCAAACCACCTCCCCAAAACAAATCCACCCACATAACTACCCATTACCACCACTAAAACTTACTAACCAACCATAAATTCCCTCTCAAACACCAAAATTCCTCAATATACAACACAACACAACAATCCCCCCACAAAAACACCCAATTTTCCTACATTAATTCCCAAATACTTAATTAACCCCCCTTAAACCTACTTTCCCCCTTAATTACCATACCTTACCAATCTCACCCCAAACCCTCAACCCCATTCCTAACCTACCAATTTTCACCACCAACTATTCAACAACATTTATAACAATTTACAACCTAAACTATACTCCTTCACCCCTACTAATCCCTCCTACACAAATTATACCCAAACCAACCCCCCCAACCTCCCTCCAATTATATTTTAAACTTCTCAAAACCCTCAACCAACCAATCTAACCCAAAATTAAAATAAAAATAACCTCCCTCCCCTCCACAAATAAACAATCCTCACCCCCACATATAATAACCTAACACCATACCACAAATTATAACCCATCCCCCCCCCTCTTCACAAAATATATTAATACACCTTTATCTATACACCCTCCCCAACCCCCATTAATATCATCATACACTCCTTCCTATAATACCTTCCTTACCCTCTAAAAATCTTAATAACATCACTTCCCCCCTACTACTCATTCCCCTTACAACCACTCAATAAACCTTTCTTATAATCTTACACCATTATAAATCAAACAACTTCCCCCATATATTTACCATACCACCAAATCCCATCCCCTAATAATAAACACCCTAAAAACAAACCCATAATCCCCCTCCCCACCCATAACCCACACTCTCTAAAATTCACTACTCCCTCATTTCTAAACTCCTATATCCCCACAAACTAAACCCCAACTTCCCCCCAACCATCCAAACACATAAACAATACCCACCACCTATTCATCCCTTACTCCCCTCCACCCAATTCAAACTATCTACCCCCTATCTAATATTCCTAAACACCCCCATAACTTCCCCCAATCTATCCCTCCCATACCCCCCCCCCTAATCAAAAAAATCAAAAATACCACAAAAAAACCAATAAACCATATAAACAATAATATCTTCCCACCATCCTAACCACCCAAACTATCATAACACTCATCTACCCCAATCTCACACTTCAATCTCCATCTATTCCTACATCAACCCTCTCCATCTCATTCATTCCTACTCCAACTACCCCCATCCCCTCACTTCACTAAATCCCCAAAACCACTCTTCCACATCTGTGTTTAGTGTGTTAAGGTCATTTCACACCTTCAACCACTCTACATCTAATACACAATAAATTCCCAACATCTTTCTCCCACATAAATCAATAAAACCATATAATATATATAACATAAAAAAAAAAAAAAAAAAAAAAAAAAAAAAAAAAAAAAAAAAAAAAAAAAAAAAATAAAAAAAAAAAAAAAATAAATAAACAAAAAAAAAAAAAAAAAAAAAAAAAAAAAAAAAAAAAAAAAAAAAAAAAAAAAAAAAAAAAAAAAAAAAAAAAACCACAAAAAAAAAAAAAAAAAAAAAAAAAAAAAAAAAAAAAAAACAAAAAAAAAAATATATTTATATATTTTATTTTTTTTTTTTTATATAAATTTATTTTTTTTTTTTTTTTTTATATTTTTTTTTTTTTTTTTTTTTTTTTTTTTTTTATCCATTTTTTTTTTTTTTTTTTTTTTGTTGTTTTTGTCCCCCCCCCCCCCCCCCCCCCCCCCCCCGTATTTTTCCACCCCCCCCCCCCCCCCCCCCCCCCCCCCCAATTTTTTGTCCCTGGTTGTGTTTTTGTGGGGGACCCAGCCCCCCAGGGACAAAAAGGGGGGGGGGGGGGAATTCATGCCTTATTTT